GGCTAGAGGGCGAGGCGGGAGCGGATATAGCGGTGGTGGAGGTGGTGGAAGAGGAGGCATCCTCGGGGCTAGAAGTGGGGGTGGGGGCGGAGGTGGAGACTTCGGCGTCGACAGAAAGTCTCCTGCGTTTGGCGGGGGTCGCCTCGCGGGCGGTGTCGTCGCCCTCGTCGCCCTCTGCTTGTGGCTGAGCGGGCTGAGCGGGCTCAGTGGGTTGGGCGGGGTGAATGGGCTGGGTGGGCTGCAAGTGTTGAACAGGTCCCATCGTCTCGTTCCCATCGTCTTCAATCAGGGTGACGACTTCTTCAATCTCTTCAGTCACACCTGCGCCCTTCGCATCGTCGTCGTCGTCGCTATCATCGCTACCGCTATCGCCATCAACGTTCATCATACCGCTCGGACTCTCGCTATCGCTGTCGGATCCGTACTCGGAGGCGGAGGAGGGGGAAGGGCTGCGAGAGCGGGTGCGGGCTGGGGCGAGGGCGGGCAGGGTGATGGCGGTGGGATGGACGAGAGCGGGGATGCTGATGCGTCCGTGGGCGGCGGTGCGAGTGGGGGCGGGGGTAGAGTCGTCGCAGGACTCGCGGGGACGTTTCTTGGAGGGCGAGGCGGGGCTTTTGAGCTCGGTGTTGCCCCCTTGATCTTTGGTCTCTTGGACTTTGGCACACTCTTCGTTGCCCTTCTCAGTGCCTTGGGTGGAGGCGGGAGCACACGCCTCAGCGGTGGTGGTGCTGGTGGTGCTGGTGTTAGGGCTCTGGGCATTAGCACCCGCGTTCGCGTTCGCATTCGCATTCACGTTCACGCTCTGCGTGTTGGTAGCGCTGACGATGCGGGAGGGAGGAGCGCCCGAGACGTCCGCCATGGCCGTCCAGCTGGGGACGCCGTAGAAGGCGCCTTCGCGGCGGAGCCCACGAACGCTGGGGCGGTTGTCCCAGAAGGCGGGGACGTGCCACGGGTTTTGGGCGGGCTCAGCTGGGGCCTGAAGCTGAACAGGAGCAGGCTCGGCTGGGCGAGAGGCGGCTCTGCGGGAGAGACGACGACGCGCAGGAGCGGGCACGGAAGGATCAGTGCGGCGGGTGGCGGGAAACGGTACGTTGAAATGGGTCATGATCAAGCTGATAGGAGGGGAAGAGAAGGGGGCATTGGTAAATGAATGGGTGAGCGAGGAGAGGAGGAAGAGACGTACGAGACCATGGTTTCTAAACGGCCAACTTGGCTCTGGATGAGCTGGACATCGGAGCGGACCTCCTGGCGGCTCTCTTGCATACTCTGGGTGATGGAGGAGCGGAGTTCAGACCCGATGGTGGAGATGGATGAGGCGAGGGCTGCAACAAGATGGGCTTGAGCGCTAGCGTCCATCATTAAGTTGACATCCATAATGTTGCTGTCGTTGTTGGTGGTGGTGGCGGCGTCGTTGGCGCTCTGAGCGGTGACTTTGGAGGAAGACATTGTATCTGAGGATGTAACTTTCGGATAAGGTTCTTTAAAAGCTCGGGTTGGTTTGAGATCTGGAGTCAAGCTGTGAGGCTGATTGCGGAGGGTTGGTTTCTGTTAAGAAAGCTAGGTGCTGCTGAAGGCTGCGGAGGACTATGTGATTTGGTTGGTTTGGAATGGGGATGGAGGACCCAGTTTATATAGCTGAGTGGCGAGGGGGACGCTTTGACGTCGTGAACACCCTCGTGGCAAAGCGGGGATGCACTGACAGGCATTGTTCGAATTGAATGTGGAAATTGCTTGGATGGTAGCTTTGACTGTTGAAGTTGAAGCGACCGTAACCACAGATCTGGAGAGCTTGAGGCATGACCTGATCAGGGTTCAAGCACGATACCACACAGAACAAGATCGACAGTGCGCACGCCACAGGATGGAAGGTGACAGAACGTTCGGATAATAGACTACAGCCTCATCCATAGGCTAAAGCGCTGGACATCCACTCGTGTACACAGACGCAAGTTGTCATGGTGGATATTGCTTTTGTGGGCATGGTGTACTGGTATCAGTGGCGACTGCAGCCGTACTCTATCGTCTGGCAGTTCTCTGGAGGTTTTTCGGCAGGAAGGAAATGCGATATGTGATGGCCATTGTGCATGTGTATGTTTTTGGGCAAAGCGTCGAGTGGCTTGAAGCAAAAAAGTCAAAGCAGGAAGCAAAGCAAGACTGGGAAGGCAATTCGAGCTGCATTGTTCTGGTACTTGCATTGAAGCCGGTAGTGAGGCCCTTGATCCGTTGTAAAGTTGTCGTCGGGGGATCTGCGTAAGCATTGAATATAAAGGATCGTTCTGGATGTTGTTCTGTGAGCTCGCGTGGAAGCGTTAAGATATTGTGGTGGTATGGAGAAGCTGGGTGTGGAGGATCACTGGAGATGAAATCGAACCGAAGGGCGTCTATAACGAGCAATATAGCTTTTTTATGGGTAGCGAGAGATGTGCAGACATCGTGCGAGCAGATGCTCGAGTCTGAAAGCGATAGACGATTGAGGAGAAAGCCTTTTGTAAAGAGATAAATCCCCGCCAGGTGTACAAAAAGCACCCACAGAAGGAGGTAAATCTGCTTGGACAACATCAAGTCTCATACGTCTTTCCGGAACACCTTCAACTCCAACCCAGGGATAGCCAAACCCCCCAAGCCAGGCGTAGCACGTGATCCATGATCACCACCAAGGTATGGCGGAGTTGCCACACACACGCGCACCGTCTTTCATCTTTTCATTCAGTCCAGCCAAGTGCCACAACATGGAAAAGCTCAACTGTTGGGTCTACGGTGAAGATGTTGAAAGGATCTCGACTGTCGAC